TGCGTCACATATTTTTACACAAAATTTGCCCTCCTGTTCACTTCTTTTCTAACATGCCTCGTTGCAATTTCTAACCCCAGAACAACAAAACTGGCTAACCCTCCATCTACATTTAGATTGACTTATAAAATCTAATGAAGTCACATGGACCTCAGCAGAAGAGTCCAGCTCACCCAGTCTCAGGGAGAACTCATAGAACCTCTTCAACTTGGCCACCAGGGGGCAGACTGCGTTCCAGGCCTTCTCCTGGAGAGCCAGGTCACCTGGGTTCTGGATGGCCTGCAGTCAGCAACACAAGCAGATGAATCTAAACAAACTTCCACTAAGTCAGAATCTGTGAGACATTTTCACTGTTTGTGCATCAGATACTGAGTGGTGAGTTCAATAGAAGGACATTATTTAGCTGATTTTACAGATACAGAAGTGGAAACATTAGTTATTAACGACCAAGATCATTTTTAGTCAACTGTTATTTGCACTCCCCCATTCCAGCGGTTTCTTTCTGTGACCCGATTAAAGGTGCAGTATGTAAGAATATAGTGAGAATTTTATGGTGAGAAAATCCCAACAGAGTCTGTGTTTAAGTCATTTTGCAAGGAAGGTTATAGTGAAACAAATTTCATGTCCAGCTGGCTGCGGGGATTGTCAGTTTTTCTCCTTCAAAACAAAGGAAGGAGGGACGTGACGACTGTTTACGGTGGGTGTGGGGTTTCTGTGTCTCCTGCGAGCTGACACTGCAGCGCCAACAGCAAAATGCTCCAGAGTTGTTTAAAGTGGTTGCAGTAACCAAATTTCACCACAAATATGTCAATTTTACTTCGTTTCTACATAATGCACATTTAAGCTAATTTGGTAAATACCTAATATTTAATCTGTAAAACAGCTTAAAATATCCACTAGAATAATAAATCTCCCAACTGTTCATTTGTTGGGTTGGTGGTGGAATCACTAGAGTCCATTTCCAGGTAGAGAATCAGAGCCACCTTCCCCCAAAAACACAAGTTTTAAACCATCAAACAACTAAACCACAACTAAATACATGAGAAAAATCTAAAGTTGACCCAGCGGATGCTAAAGGACATAATGCAAGAAAAGTCAACCACTGGGGAACAGGACAAGCAGGAGAAAGGGGCGTGGCTTAACGCCTCCCCTCCTCACCTCTCTTATCTCCTGTCCCGCTCCGTTGTAGGACTGCAGCTCTGCCAGGATCCCGTGAGCCTCTTCCAGCACGGCGCTGACCTGGTTCCACACGGCTGTCTCTGCCTCCGTGGGCTGGGCGTCTGAGAGGGGAGGGCGTGATGTGAGGTGTGGGAAGAGATGCAAACGTTCAGGAGAAGCAACACAGAGATAGCAGGGAAGTGAACAATGGAAGATTAATAAGAATCAAAGCTAGAGCCAGACAAAAACCTGGGATTATCATTACTTATTTTTATATTTTTTTTGCTTTTCATCTAAATTAGAAGATTAAATCATTATTTGCGGTTTGAATTTGGCTGTGAAATAAAAAAAGATTTGATTTCCTTCTAGAATTAGATCAGGAGGCTTGTGAGGCTTGCTCTTGTCACACAGTGAGGTTTGGATTGCAAACTCAGGTCACCGCAAAACAAAGATGACTAAAGTGTTCAACTTCAGGGAGGCTACAAATAACTGTGGCATCTCCGAGAAGCTGAATCTCCGCCGAGACGTCTGTTCAGGAGAGATTTCCACGTGGATAGGTGTTATTGTCTCATCAGACTCGGCTAAAAGTCCTATCCATCTCTTTTTATTGCCTCATTCCTGCGAGGTGGGTACAAACTCTCCTTCGTCCTTCAGGTTTCGCCCCATCCTCCTTTCCCCGGTATACATATTGTGCAGAGTTGGTGTTTTTGCTGCAGTGGACCCTCCGAGTGAATGAGATGATCTACACCACTCTTGTAATCTATATATAGACCTGGGCATCAGGAGTTTAGCTGTGCATATCTGATTCCAGGTCTGAACTTCCGTTTTAAATAATAATGATAATAACACCCTTTAGCTGCTAATTTTAAAGTCGTTTTAATAAACTGATTAATTTGCTTTGGTTTAAAGATTTTTTTTGTCTACATTTTCTTTTGTTGTGAGATTCTCTCAGATACAGGAGCCATAGAGATAATCCGTCAGATACGAGCAGCTCAAACCAAACTTGTGTGACAGAGGTGAGTGCCCCCCCCCCCCCTTCCCCTTCCCGCCTGGGGAGAGGCAGGGCTCACAGATGGCACAGAGATGGGTGAGGAGGATGGGGGGAGGTCTACAGCCTCCTGAGTCATCCCGTTTACTTTTGAAGTTGGAGTGCATCACATGCATAATAAACCAAGAGGAATTCAGCCTGTTTGACCAGCTTGATGTCTCACGCCAGCAGTGAGCCCCCCCACTCCCTTTGAAACATTCAGCCGATAAATCAGGAGGAGGAAAGCCAGCTGTTTAGGGAGGGAAGTGGCAGAAAAGGGGCAGGAAATGTAGGGATACAGTGCAAAACATCTACATCTTAACAATTTAAGTCCAAATCCACTTTAGGATCGATCCTGAAGACTTTGTTTATCGCTTAAGTCCACAAAATTAGAAACATCAAAGAGAAAAATCTAATTTTTATGTGAAAGTGATCAAATTTAATGTATCCGCCGTAGCAGTGTGGCGTTTAAACATGAAAGGCTTGTTAGGATGGATTTTTTTACACTGCATAGTTCAAAATACAACATAAAAGGAGTAGAAAGGATTGTAATTACAGGATTTTATCTTACAGTCGTTCGTTCAGGTCACTTTCAACCTCTTATACACACACGGTTTACTGGAAAATACACACACAGATAGGCCAAACGAGCAGTGACGAGACGATGATGTGGATGGATGACGATGGTGGCTTTGTAAGACATCGTCATCTCTTAGCAACAGAAACCCACACAGGACTGACATTTGTGTTTTAACTGTGAAAATCGAAGCTTATCGTTGGCGTTTTGCTACAGCGGGGATCCGTCTGTGTTCAATAAAAACGAAGATTCTCTAAAAAGATGCGTGTTTCAAATGCCAGTCTCGCTGGGAAAAAGGGTCTGGGAAAGCTCAGGACAGGATGGAAGAGGGTTAGAGCAGGATGCAAAGATGGTCAGCTAAGGTGGAATGGTTCAAAATAAGGAGAGGCAACAGAGACAAAAGGGATAACTCAAGAAAAAAAGAAGCTGATGATCTCACGTTCAAAGTCAAGGAAAACTATTGGGCCATGCTCAAGTTCGGCGCAAGCCAGCACTTTCAGGAGGTTTCCCATGAGCCCTCTGGAACAGAGAGAGGGGAGAAGAGCGTGGGTGATGGAGGGGACAGGTGTTGGAGACCGTGTGCACAGGGGTGTATAGATGTCTGTGTGTATGTGTGTGTGTGTGTGTGTGTGTGGTGTGTGTGAGTGTGTGTGTGTGTGTGTGAGCTTTGAGTGTGGTGTAGTCCCTAGGAAGGACGGTGGCTTGGGTGGTGACGAGATGAGAGAGCAGTCGTTGGAATGGTATGGTTGGAGCACAGCGACACGGAGCGCCTTTAATCCCACTCTCCTCCAACCCGTTAAAAATGCTGCGAAGACTCAGACCAATCAGAACTTTACTTACACTGACGACATGAAAATTAAACATCATAAACCATTAATACAACTGATTTTGTCACAAAAGTTGTGTGTCTCCATACTGCTTTGATTATTCAAAGTTGCCAAACATCACTGACGTTTGGGTGGAAAGATACAGCTTTAGGTATTCCAAAACGAAGATGCAATTTCATATTCATGTAAACATTTGTGGAAGACAGGAAATTCACAGTGAATTCAAATTTCTTATACATTGTACGTTATAAAGCCATTCTACCCAGGAACAAGAACCGCTCCAACCATCTATTTAAACACCAAGTTCACTCATGCAGTGTTCTATTAGCCTAGCATAAATATGATATGTGAATATATAGCCTGGCCACGGCCCACAAAACAGATCTCCGTCGTGGGGTGGACTCTAACGGTTGACTTTCAAGCTGTCTTTGCTCGCTATTGCATAATGAACAACGTGACGTACTCGCCTCTACGATTGTAGGCAGGGGCAGCCCAGCATGCACCCCATTGAAGACGCAGATACACCATTTATCTAAACAAAGGACTTAAATACCCTCTATCTGCTATTGACTCAAAGACAAGCCCAAGTCTAAAAAGACCCTTTCACTGTTTGTAAACAATATGACGTCAGCGAGAATGCGCGCCGCAGCTTGGCAACAGAGAATGGCGTTGTGTCAGGCTTTATCAAGCTACGCTGCGGGGTTATCACCGGCAAATCTCGAATGTTATATTATTAAACTCACTTTAAACGAATGGCAACAGACTCCCGGATCCCTGTGGCATTACGGAATGGTGTGGAAGATGTAGGTGCGTGACCAGAATATCCAGTGGGCCCGATATATACACGTTTTTAGTGGAGAGGCCCAGTAAGTACACACGTGAGAAGCTACGGGCATACAAATCGTTAGATGCATACATCTATGTTGTCTGTGGCCACGTACATAAAGTAAAATATCACAACACAGACTCTGAGTTTTGCGTCTTGAAGGCAGAAGTGCTTCCTAGCCAAAGACAAGGACACAAGACTGCTGTGTACGAGGCTTGGCTCATAGTAAACAAACCAGAGAACTACGTCTTCACAGCCAACTGTACCTGCATGGCAGGGTGAGTATAGCATAGGTTTCTTTTTTTAGCGTGCTCAGAGGACAATCGTGTTAATTTTAGAGAAATACAGTTTATACTAATATGCAGTGTAAATAAATGTAAATAAATAGACTGCAAACCAGCAAACCAGCAAACGCAACTTACTTTATTTAATAGAACACACGTTAACCAGCTTTCAGGTGTAATCTTCGTACATAATTACCTTACCTGATATAAAATGGGCGCTGCAAACTCGAGCATTTCGGATCGTGTTTTCAGTCCAGTTTTCATCAACCCTTTTGATGGCCTGCAGCCACAGACGCCTCCGATTTTGTTGAAATGGATGTGCTCCCTTCGGAATTCTGTAAAGTTTCAGTCCACTGCTTGAAGAGAAGCGATTCTGACATCCATACACGCAACAACCCAACATTTTTATGTGCTCAGAACTTCCAAACAAAGGGTTTAAAACGCTGTTTTAGTATCGAGTGTGAATGAGGAAGCCTTCACTCTCACTGCCAGGCTGCGCGCGCAACTTTTGATGACGTAGGTAGTAAAAGGGTCTATAGTTTGAAGTTGATTCCAAAGTCGTTTTATACGCCCAGTTGCAGTAACAAACAAACTGATGATTTGTGAGACACAAGACTGTTTGGGCCTGCTGAGGCTCCTAAGGAGCATGGCTAGACTAACCCGCTATGGTCTATCTAGATTTCTAGGCTAGTGGTCTCTAGCCTTGGGAGTATCTGAGGGACAAAAGCAATGGTGCTCCCGTTTCAAGAACTAGAAGTGAGCCAGAGCAGCTGGGAACAGAAAACTGATCTGGAGTCTTATTTCCTAGTATTTGAACATCTCTCCTCTGATTGGCTAACAGCAGCACAACTCTACCACTGCTTTCCAACGTTGATGTTTTATTTCCACAAACAGCACAAGCCTGAAGGAGTTCTGCCGTGTTGTGGAGTTTCTAAAGCTAACATTATCTTCTGCTAGCTAAAGCTTGGTTTATGCTTGACGCATTCACTTTCCGCGCGGTGATGCGGCTCGCGGCTGGAACGCGCTTCACAACTCGCAGTGTTTATGGTTCGTGCGGCTCGTCTCTGCGGTGAGCCAATATTCTCCCAAACTGTAGGGGGCAGCATGGAGCCCTACGGCATGCATCCAACAATCCACCATAGTAGAAGTAGAAATTACTGTTTACAACATGGCATTTCAGCATTTTTAACAGCGTCCTCGTCTTTTCCGACAGTGCGAGCTGTTTCTCTCCAAGAATTATTAACAACATGTTGATCACGGTGATCTTTGAGAGCTGAATCATACAAATGTCTGTATTTACGAACCTCTGCCATACTAGTTCTTGCCAGTCCGCCATGTTTTTCCACGTCCGTCCGTCCGCGTGGTTAGAAATTTTGGGTTGGTTTATGCTTGACGCGTCCGCGAGGTCCGCACGGCTCCGCGCAGAAAAGTTGCGTCATTTTGTGTCATTTTAACAACCACGCCCCTCCACCGCGTCTCCGCACGGCCCAAGATTTCCGCAACGCGCACCTTGGAAAATTTCTAACCACACGGACGGTCAGACACGGAAAAACATGGCGGACCGGCAAGAACTAGTATGGCAGAGGTTCGTAAATACAGACATTTGTATGATTCAGCTCTCAAAGATCACCGTGATCAACATGTTGTAATAATTCTTGGAGAGAAATAGCTCGCACTGTCGGAAAAGACGAGGACGCTGTTTAAAATGCTGAAATGCCATGTTGTAAACAGTCATTTCTACTTCTACTACGGTGTAGTGTTGGATGCACGCCGTAGAGCTCCATGCTTCCCCCTACAGTTTGGGAGAATATTGGCTCACCGCAGAGACGAGCCGCACGAACCATAAACGCTGCGAGTTGTGAAGCGCGTTCCATCTGCGAACCGCATCACCAAGCGGAAAGTGAATGCGTCAAGCATAAACCAAGCTTTTCCGAGGTGCGCGTTGCGAAAATTCTGGGCCGTGCGGAGGCGCGGTGGAGGGGCGTGGTTGTTAAAATGACGCAACTTTTCCGCGCGGAGCCGTGCGGACCTCGTGGATGCGTCAAGCATAAACCAACCTTAAGACGTTCTCTGCCATTGCCTGGACACTAAACCAACAACAGCCTTCCTTGTCGTGAGCCAAGATGGGTGAGTCCATGAATGTTAATTTTCAGTGTGATGTAGATCTGACTGGCTTTTCTTATTCGAGCGTTTCAGCATCTATTCTCTATCAGCGGCTAATGCAGGAAATAATGCTAGAACAATATTTTTACATTTAACCTTCATGTTGAAGTCAGAGTGACCGATTGTGAACTTGTTCTTTTAAAAAAACAAAAAATGAAAATTGCATCCATGCCTATAATGAGTGAACTTCTGGATTCTGTATTTGATTAAATGAAAGCAGAAGTGAAACTAGCCAATCTGAAAACAGCCATTTCACTGCTGACACCATTTAAACTCCATAAAATCAGGAGTTTCTATAATAATCCATATTATATGCGTATATTACTGTTTATTCATGGTAGTGCATGTGCACATCACACACACCAGTGCACGTGTCTGTATGATTCTCAGTTAGAGAGTGGGACTGAAGAGCGACTGATGACAACAAACAACACCCCCAACAACACTCCATCACACCATCAACAACTATGCATCTCACGTCTGACCCCGCCCACCGACCTCCCACTGCACACATCCTCTCCACGCTCACACATCAAACACCCACCCACCCACACACACACACACACACACACACACACACACACACACACACACACACACACACACACACACACACACCCCTGATGCTCACTTACTTTCAAAGTCCAGGAAAAAATGTGGACAGTTCTCTAAATCCTTGCCAAGGACCTTAATGAGGTTCCCCATGGCTGGCGACCTGGACGGGAGGAAACAATAAAATGCACACAGAACCTGGCAGCCTGCATGAAGACATACAACAGGAACATGGACAACACAGCAGGTTCTGGCTGGTGTTATTTCTGTTGAACCCATCTGCTTCACTCTAATTGTCCTTCCTTATCTCCTTCTGTTTAGTCTGAAGCTAAGTCAGACGTCCCAGTCGTCGCCGACTCGGATCACAGAATGGATCTGATGCACGGCATATTCTGTGTCCAACTGCAGCAGGGGCAAAATCCAGATCTGAATTGTTTAGCTGGCTGATCTGTGGTCCATGGAGCTGGACAGCGGTTCTAATTTATTTACATTACTGTAGTAACACAATAAAAACCTGAAGGCTTCCCTCTAATGCTTTATACGTGCACGTTTAGGGTCTACACGTGCCCTTATATCATAAAAAATAAAAAAAATCAAATCAGATGTAAATGTTTATGTTAATAAAGTCATGTCCATTTTAAGCTGGCTAAATTATTGAACAAGACTGGGAAATCAGGGGAACTGGAGTTTTTGACGCTGCTGCTGTTGAAGCTGGTGGCGGGATTTACACACTAGTAAATAAACACACAACCAACAGTCAGAGGGGCCATAAACTTGAGCAACTTCACTTTGGACATCACTCTGTCACCCTCTGCTGAGCAGAAGCTGGGCTTAACAGTTTTGTGGTTCAGGTAAGGCTCTCTACCTGCTTTACAGCAATAGCAGTTTACTGTGTTGGTAGCTAGTATAAAGGCTAGCAGTTAGCTTTCCAGCCAATAAAAAAACACAAGAAGAATTGAGCTTGTTTTGTCTTTGGAGGTGAAGCAAAGAGCGAATAACCAGAGTGAACAATGATGCAGCATACACCACTTTTTAGGGAGGAGACTGCAAAATCCCAGACTGATGGTGACCTGGCTTTGTTGCTACTGGACTTTTATTTTGTCAAACAGAGATAATCTGTTTTCTTCATAACATTTAAAATCAGTTGGCTTGTGTTAGCATTAACCATTGACATATATACTGGACAATTCGTATCCATAGGGTCCAGTTAAAAAAAATTTGTGCCAAAATGGGAGGTTCCCACCACCGCCATTTTGACTCTGTCACAGGTTCCGTCAAGCCTAGACAATTCCAAAAAAGGGAAAAGAGGTGGAGCTGAGTGTGGGGCTGTAAGGCTGGGATCAAATGATGACACCCGTCAAACTGAAGCGATGTAGCTACAAGCTAACCCAAAGCTAACGCGGAGGTGGTAGGTGCCTAGCTACAACCGGAGTTAACTCTGCACAACACCGGAGCTTCTGTCAGAGATGCGCTGAGCTGCCGCCGGTTAACACAGAGGTCTCCCGAGAGCTCCACAAGCAGATGATTCATGCTTTTTGAACCTTCATGGTTCCCGTAGTCTCCCTGTGCACGAGCAGAGAATGCTAGTAATGTGTGTGAAGGAGCTAATGTTAAGCGCGGGTTTTCTTTTTGCCGCCTGGGTGGAGCCGAGCAGTGTTTTTGACGCGAGGGCGGAGCAGAGCAGTAGGGGAAACAGTATTTGATGGGGAAGCGAGATCTAATGGTACACCGGCAGCCCGCGCAGCAGACAAGCACCGCTGCGGTCAGAGATGTGCCGAGCTGCCGCTGAGGGGAGGGAGACCATACCGATAGTCGGAACCCAGCTCCACCAACGTGTTATATTTCAACCCGTTTTCTAAAGTGCAGCATTATGTTAAATGCACTGGGTTTTACCCTATTACATTTAAATTTCATGGTTAAACAGTACATGTTAAAATCTAAGTTCAGCTCGTGCAAGAGCGGCAGTGACCTAAAATACATAAATATAATTTTGCTTACCGAAAAAAATGAAGTAGAGACTTCTTGGACGCTCTATTAGTGCAATTGATGCCACAGCAAGTCATTTTGTCCAACAATTGCACAAATAATATCCAAAAAGAACACACAAACATCACAACCAATGGTTTAAGTTGAGAGACTGAAAATGGTGGAACAGTTTTCAGGTGGAGGCCTTTCGCCGGAGCTAGCTCTGCGGTCACGTGGGTCGGATGCTTATTAATTATACAGAATTTTAGGCTTTTAATACACTTAAACAGAAGAGTGACAAAAAAAATCACCCCCTCAGAGATGTCATGAGTGTATACTAGATCATTTAAACCACAAACATGTTTTGGTACCAGGCTGTAAACATGTTTATTTCTGCTGTGAAACTGGTATTTTTAACATGGGAGTCAATGAGGATTTGCTCGCTTCTGACACCAGCCCCTAGTGGATGAGGGTGGAACTGCAATTTTTGTCACTTCCTGTTTTGCTTCATATCCAGACCCGAATTATGGGGGCTTGGCATTAACATAGCACTAGCTCTAGCAGGCTGCGGCAGGGTTGTTTACAACAGTTGTAATTATGCTTTTAACCAGCAGGAGGGAGAAGCCAGGTCACAAGTCATCAGCAATAGAACCAAAGCCAAGCCCCGAGTATTTTGTGATGCCATCAGTTTGAACTTAATATCATCAGATGTTCACCTTGAGTCCAGTGACCGGAGTCCACATGTCTGTTGATGTAAAGGTTTTTTAAACAATGCTGTGTGAAATGTTGCAGATTGAATTATATTAAAGTGGATGAACCAGCCATTAGCTCATCTGTTACGTAGAACATGAAGCCATATCTCCAGACAGGAGGACTTGTGTGCTAAAATGACACGCCAGACAGCAAAAAGCAGAATCCAGCTTTATAAAACCACTCAGAAACCTCTCGATGAAATACTTTTTGTTAAGGTAAGATTAGCAGCAGCCAAGTTGCACCTCCTCTCCTTTCATCGTGTGTGATGTTAGCCCCCACCAGGGGCTCATTGGTGCCCCCACCACCCTCTCTGAGAACGATTTATAGCCAGCATTTGCATGTTTACGAGATGCCGCCATCCACCGCAAGACAGAACATGGCTCAGTTTTGTCGTTGCTCAGCAGGAATGGGTGTTGCAACGCAGCACTGAGGTTCGGACAGATGGAGTTACGCTTGCCGAGGCGGCTTCCGGTCATTTGTCTTCGTCTCAAATCAGAACCACGCCTTCTACCTCTAAACCACTGGGCGTGTGAGGAGACAGCTGTATGCCAAGTCACCTCTGCAACCCTCGGCCACCACTTTAAACATGATAACTCCCCACCTGCACCGTGATGCGTTCTAAACGAAGGTTATGAATATATGAATAAGAGATTCTCATTCTCCAGCCCGACAAGGTGATTGTGAAGGAGAATTCCTGTTGAGGTGAAGAGCTCGGCCTCGTGCGAGGCGGCAGAAAACTTCTGATGCATGAAAAACCTGACACTGGTGTGTGCCAGAGGTAGCATCGCATGTAACAGCACCCACGAAGGGAGGCTGGAGCAACATGCGGTCCATCCTGAGAGCAGAGCTCAGCTGATGGTTGCCAGGATACGGTTGGCCTGGTGACTCTGCTCATCTTAGCTGACGATAGGGAAGCATCGAGCCCGTGCACACACCGAACCGCTTAAACCGCAGTGATCTGATGCATTAATGAGGTCCCCATTAACTACAGCTTTCTCTCTTCTTACCCTCGTCTCCTCTGAGCGTTCTTCTTCTTCTCCTTCTGAAATCTCTTCTCTGAGTTTTCCCAGATCGGAATCCTTCCGTGGCACCGGTTATCGCTCTGCTTCTCTGGAGACGAATACAAACTTCTGCTCACTCTCTCTCTCTCTTTCCGTGTGTGTGTCCACTTCACACTTCTCTTTTTCTGACATCTATTAAAAGACCCTGTGGTTTTTTCTGTTTGCGCTGGTCTACATGCCTGACTTTGTTCCAGCAGTGCTGCGTTTACAGGCGATGATGTGAGGTTGACACCTCAGAGCAGAGGTAGGGTTAATTCTTACGTTTCAGACGCATTTCTGAAGCATCTCTTTGTTTTGTTTACACAGAAAACACCCATCCTCTCCAAATCTCTGACGTCAGAATGAGTTCCTCAAAAATCTCCCCTGCAGCTTTCCTTTCTGTCTCACTTCTCCATTTCACCACTCTGCAGTGCTCTCCCCACTCCTTGGGCTTTGTCTTGTCAAAGCACATTTCTGTCATGATGTCATTCAGTCTCGCTTTTGGCCCTCAGGAGAAAACAAATCTAAAGAGGAGGACGAGAACCATGGCGGGGTCATCCAAACACGCATTCACGTCCATAAAGTCCACAAAAGTAGCTGAAAACTTGACGGGCAGCTTGTTTGATCACTAAGGCATGGCATTCTGGGAATTAGGAAGTGTGTTTGGTGGACACTGGTTGCGGTTTCTCTCACACGCAAACAGACAGTGTTTGCATTCAGGCAGCGTGAAAGTGGAGCAAAGAGCTTCTCTTATGCAACTGCACAGCTCTCATCTGTAGTCCAGCAAAGGAGCGTGAAACGAGGAGCTCCTTGAGGCCTAAAAAGGACACAGATCGGTGACCACATGGGGTTGAAAGGCAAACCTGACCCAGACTTGGAACCAAGTGCCACAGCCAAGTGTCTCTGAAAGATCCCTCTTGTTACGGCTCAGGAAGCTCATCAGTGTGGCTTTACCGAGCACAGAAACCTCTAATAACTCCCCAATAATCCCTTTTTAAACTTCCCCTGCCCTCCGTAGTCAACCACAACCTGTCCAGAAGTGTGAATCAACACTAATTTACTCAGTGTTCCTAGTTAGCTCCATGTGTTTTCAGATTGTTTTCTCCACCGCCCATCTTCTGTTCCTACCTTCGTTGCTTGTGTTATTTTCCCCACAGGAACGCTTCTCTGCATCAACCAGGGCTCGTCAGCTCCTCACGATGGTTACAGCATCAGCGCCCAACACCTGGCAACAGCAGGAAGGCAGAGAGAGGTCAACATCAACTTCAAGACAGCACAGTCCCACGCAGGTAGTATCTCTGGAAAATATCCCACTTGGAGACGGCAGGAGTCAGCTGGGAGTGTGGCGAGCCACGTAAAAACACAAAGAATCTGTTCATCTCATTCTTTAATCGCTGGATGTGTGACAGCAAAGGCACAGATACTTCTATTTTTGTGTTTACATCATGGAACCAACCTGAAAATGTAAGCCCGTTTTTATGAAACAGTGTGGTTATTACAGTTTGAGTTTTGTTTAAATATTAATAAATGTGTGATTTGTTAATACTCAGTGTGTGCATCACTTTCAGATAAAACATCATCAAACTTTAGCTCAAGATCTGTGAAAAGAAGCTAGCGGTGAGAATGATGAATGGGTTGACTTTAAAAAATGAACATCTCTTGATTTTTTTTTATTAATTAGTGGTTCCTCACATGGGATGCAAACAGAAAGACAACGTTAAAGCAACAATAAAAAGTTGTTAATACTCTAAACCAGGGATTCCCAAAGTGTGGTGTGCGCACCCCTGGGGGTGCGCGAGCTGCCGCTAGGGGGTGCGCGAGGTGAAAAGTGTAATGGCTGCGGAGCTCAGAGAAGTCTGTCAAAAGTCACCATTAGCGTAGAAACTCATTTGTGGGCGGGCCTAAGAAAAAGTAAGTGGACCCAATAAATGTAATTGAAAACAAGTATATTTTGCTTGTGTGTGTGTGTGTCCTCCGCACATGCCCTAGCTCAGGGGTCGGCAATCCGCGGCTCTGGAGCCGCATGCGGCTCTTCCATCCATCTGATGCGGCTCTCTGTGCTTGTAAAATAATGAATGGATATTTAAATAAAAAGCTTTATATTGTACTGCATAAATTTTACATCTGTATGCTAATTCTAAATGTGAAGATTGTCTGCGTAAACCTGAACAAGTCCAGCCCAGTCTTACTGTGTGACCGGGTTGACGCGTCACGCTTGTGCATAATCATAGGCGCATTCTGAGCTGAAGAGGATGTGAGATTCTGGGACTCTCCTCAGACGCCACATTGGAGACAGGAACAAGCACAGTTCAGCCAACGTTTCATCATCAGGGAACATTTTCTAAGTGACAACTCTCTCTGAGAGACAGGGTTTGGAAAAAACTCGCTTCAGTCGGAGGAATCTTCCCGCATGCGCTCTGGTTCTGCGACGCGCTCCAAGCCCCTCTCCACATCTTCAGCTCGCTGTGCACCTTATGTACGTGCTGACAGTGAGCTGCGCTGAGCAGTGTCCAGCTCAGATGTTCAGAAGGAAATTTTTTCTTGAGTGATTTAGCTACATCTGCGATGTGCGAAACGAATAAAGTGTCAGTTCGTCTGCATGCGTCGGGGTAATTCTTTCTATTCTTTCTCCGTCAAAATAAACGGTCAAATACGGGATCTGTCCGGTCAACACAAGCCCTGCTTTTAACTGTTCTGTTTTCTTGTGAAAATTGTTACAAACTAAACTTGATTAGCACCAGAGCCAGGCGCACTGCGCCGTTATCTCCGTCACTGTAAATGAGGGAAAAACAAAATGATCGGATCCTTTTCTGACCTTCCCCACCTACAAAGTTTAATTACAACAATCAAACGTGACAGAGCCTGGATTTGTATTCTGAACAGTCTAAACATGTTTTAAAAAGAAACGTATGACAAAAGTGGCACCTGCTCAGTAAAACCACCAACAGGGTGAAAAATATCTAAATATTGTCGGCAGAGACGGGCTACAACTTCTGGATCCATTTTATATAAATCGTTTTATTGATTATCGTCTTATGAAAGATAACTTTGACGTACACGAGCGACCGGTACCGGCTGCTGTCACCTGTTGTGAGCAGCGCTCTGCTGTCTGAGGGTAGGCCCCGCCCACAACGCCGTGGCTGCTGCAGTGTTTTCTTTACTGTGGGAAACTGGTAATAATGGCTCTTTGATGGGAACAGGTTGTCGACCCCTGGTTTACCGTGACGTCATATATATATATATATATATATATATATATATATATATATATATATATATATATATATATATATATATATATATATATATATATATATATATGTATATATATATGTATATATATATGTATATATATATATATATATATGCCATGCCCTGATGTGGGGGCTGGGGGGTGCGTCAACATGGTCGGGACATAGAAGGGGGTGCGTGGCTAAATAAGTTTGGGAACCACTGCTCTAAACTATTGCTTTCAGCTGGTTCTTGAGCCAGAAACCTGAGCATCTTCACACTGGACAATGTTAGCATCATCTTGTTAGCACTAGCTCGTTGTTAGCGCTAGCTCATTGTTAGCGCTAGGTACAGCAATCTTTACGATAGTCGTAATTCCGTAAGAGGGAGAAACGTATTAAGTGTTGCAATACTAATACTGTAATAAGCTGGTTGGGAACAGTGACTCAGTTTTAAATAGGGATGTACTCGTATAAAACATGAGCTGATATCAATATTGATTCTGCTGTTATGACCAATAAACAATATTTACTGACGCCATACTGAGACTGATATCATATCCCTACACTTTCAGCTCCAGGCAACAACAACAACACCACTTGGTCTTCTTCAGTCAAACAGCCTGTCCATATCCCCTCCATCTTGTCTCCAGCATCTTAGCTCTGCTCCTAGCGTGTCCTTCACCTTTACCCCTGTGTTGTCTAGATGTGTTTTTTCTTTAGTCATTCTTTGTTCATGGTTTAGTTTCTTCTCACAGCCTTCTAGTTCAGTTGTAAAGTTTTCGATTCAATGTGTTCTGTTTGCCCCTTATGCCCCATGCAGCCTTAGCGTTTCACTGCCTAGTGTATTCTTTCAGCATTTAGTTCTGGTGTCTTGTTCTCTATCTGTGTCTAGTTTTACCTGGTTACCCTCTTGTCTTTCTGTATTGCCTCCATCCCTCAGAGTTCTGTGCCTTTGTGTTTGTCCCCCAGTGCCCTGTTCACCAATCACACCTGTTCCCTGTTTCCTTATCACTGCCTCAGTCTATTTAAACCAGTTCACTCATTGTCTGTTCCGTGTGTGCGTGTGATGGTGTAATGGAGTATGGTTCTGTTCCAAACGGCACCCTCGCACTCCCGTACTCAAGAGGAGGGACTTGTAAAGTACGCAACAATGTTCATGTTATGATCTGCTGTGGTGGCCACATTGAACAGTGTTGTTTCCAAAAGTTAATGTTGATGTACACAGACATGAAACTCATTTAAATTAAAAAAATTTAAAGAGGTCCTTCACCCATAATTGTAATACATTTGCAGTGGTCTCTACTAGAAGTGATAACCTTGTACTCAGGGGGATAAAAGCTCAGATGCATCTGTTTCAGGAAGCAGAAGTCAGATGGAGAAAGCTGCTTCAGACGGCAGGATCTGGAATCTTATTTCCTGATATTTGGACATCTCGCCTCTGATTGGGTAATGGCAACACAACTCTACCACTGACTGTTTGCTCTGCAACGTTGATGTTTTATCATTACAAATGATAAAACATCAGTTCTGCTGGAGTGGAGTTCTGCTGTGTGGTGGGGTTACCGCTAACAGTTAGCTTCCACTAGCCGAGACATTTGCTGTTTCCTGGATGCTAAACCAACAACGACCTTTTTTTGTCGCGAGTCAAGATGGATGACGTAGATCTGTCATGCTTTTCAAATACTAGTTTCACCGTCTACTTTTGATCCGAAGCTAACGCAGGAGATAGGTGTAGGAGACTATTTTCATGTTCAGCCTGCATGAAAAACTCCGAGTGACTCATCATTTTCTCTGTGAAGGATCCCTAAATATTTCCAGCACCCTTGTTAACTCCACTAATTGGTAAAGTTTGTACCTGCAGCAAATACAATAAACTGGGTGAGTTGATGGAAAAGCACAAGTGCATTTTTCCAAACCTCGGGGAACGCTACTGAAAGAGGAGCTGCAGAGTTCAGTAATAATTTTCTGAGTTCATTGCTGAGAACAAGTACTCCACATTCAATCATTAAGGCCATTTCTGCATTACAAATGTGCTCCTTAAGGCTTTGGTGATTTTCTCAAGAGAAACACATCAAAGCTCCAAAGTTTACGCTGAAAGATTGAATCCGGAAACCAAAAGGTGCTTCTACCATTTTTATTATGCCGTTTCAACGTGTTAATCTATCTCTTTATTGTCTGTCTCACACAGACCGTCTAACCCGCTGCCTGGTGTAACTATTAACAGTGCTACTGCTGCCGTTGCATCATCCAATCTCATCAGGAGAGAGAGAGAGCAGTCAGGAGGAAGGTGGGATATTTGCAGAGGAGTTGCTAGGGAAACGCAGCATCTCATTCTCATGGCAACCGGTATGATTTGCTGCTATCAGTGCAGTGGATCGGATAAACATACTGATGAACTGTACTCCCCTTAATGGTGTGATAACATTAACATTCCTTCATGTGGGGGCTATAAGTCTCCACACACCCCTGGAAGTCCACAGCTCTTGTTTGAAGAGGGGAGCTTGTGGCGTTACTGATTCAGGTTAATTGCTTATTGATTTTTTTTTATCCATCTTCTAAATGAAAGAACAAAGTGTGGGGTGCCTACTGAGGCCACGGAGGTGAGGAGTTAATCTAAAGACATCGCAGCATGCATCTGTGAACAGATAGGTAGCGAACAGCAACTTTTCAGAGACACAGACAACTGAATCTTTCATCACTTAAAGATTTTGTGCAGCTTATGACATAATATGTCCAATTAACGTGTGTCACGTTGCGGGTGTGGATGACGGCGGACCGTGTGTGGAGGCGCTGACCCAGAGGCAAAAATGCAGGCTCGGATAAAGTAAAAATGGTTTTAATGGCAGAGCGGGAACGACAGAACAAA